GGGGGGCGCCCCCTGGGCTGATCCAGGGGTCCAGCCTCTAGAGAGTTCTGGCTTCCCAGGGTCCATAGATAACATTGGACAATCTAATATTTGCACCTAGCTTGTCCCAGCATCATCCCATCATTTTGTGTGTAAAACATGCCATGGTCTGGCTGCCTGGCAGAACCTCTTCAGGTCCTCGTTGAAAGCGTAGATTCCTAGACTTCATCTCAGTCCTGATAAATCAGAACAGTTTGGTGTAGAAAGCAGATTTTAAAAAAATTATTTAACTTTATTTATTTTAATTTGACCAAAGAGGGACAGAGTGAGAGGGAGAGAGACAGAAAGTGAGAAAGCAGGCTGCCAGGACCAGGACTTGAATTGCGGTCAGCCATGTGGGAGTCCAGTGCCCTTAACTACCATGCCACCTGCTGGCCCCCATTTTATTTATTTTTTTTAAGAGAGAGATTTTTGCTAATAGGCACATGCACTCAGCAGAGAGACAGAAAGACAGAAAGCAAGAAATCATCCCCTAGGGAGGATGACCACATTGCAGTCCCTTCTCCATTCTCCTCTCAGGATTTGGGGCATGCAGAATTCCTCCAGGAATCCATCCTAAGAAAACGTTCTAAAATTTGGATCAAGATGTTCATTTTAGTGTTATTTTATTTTATTTTTTTTAGAGGTTTTTGCTATAGGGCGCGTGCGCTCGCCAGACAGAGAGATAGAAAGCGAGAAATCACCCCCCAGGGGGGTGGCCACGCTGCAATCCCTTCTCCTCCATTCTCCTCTTGGGATCTTTGGCACGCACGCACACACGCCCGGCGTGAGTTTAAGCCACCGGGTCCGGGACTCGAACCGCGGTCGACTACATGGGAGTCCAGCGACATAGCTAACTGCTGGTCCCTAGTGTTATTTATAATAGTAAAAATATTATAAAAACTTAAATGACTAGCAATAAGGGATTGTTTAAATAAAGTGTGCACTTATGGAAAATAATATTTCCAAAGAAATTTTTAGTAACAAGAATAAAAGCTCCTAGTAAAATATTAAGTGAAAGGTAGATTACAAAATATTTCTATAGCACAAATTTAGCCATGACAAAGACATTTAAATAGAAAAGACAGCCTCTGGGACTGTTACATTGCTGGATTCCCACATAGTCAACTGCAGTTTGAGTCCCAGACCCAGTGACTTTAAAATCACAACCCGCACAACTCACACCGGGCACATGTGCGTGCGTGCCCAAGATCCCGAGAGGAGACTGGAGGAGAAGGAATTGTGGCGTGGCCATCCCCCCTGGGCGGGGATTCCTTGCTTTCTATGTCTCTGTTTCTCTCTGTCTCTCCAGCAAGCACTCATGTTCTATAGCAAAAATCTCTCTAAAAAAGAAAAGAAAAACAGTCTATAAGGAGATAGAATGAAATATTAAATATGTCTATAAGATTATGAGTGCTTTTTTTTTTCCAATATATACTTTTATTAATTGCTGATTTTTCTATAAAGAGCAGGAGTATTATTTTTTCTTTTACTTTTTTTTTTTTTTTGGAGAGGTTTTCGCTATAGGGCGCGTGCACTTGCCAGACAGACAGAGAGAGACATAGAGACAGAAAGCGAGAAATCACCCCCTAGGGGGGATGGTCACACCGCAATCCCTTCTCCTCCATTCTCCTCTCGGGATCTTGGGCATGTACGCACACGTGCCCGGCATGAGTTTTAAGCCACTGGGTCTGGGACGTGAACCACAGTCGACTACGTGGGAGTCCAGCGACATAGCCATTACGCTAACTGCTGGTTCCCGAGAGCATAATTATTTTTATAATCAGAAAAAAATGTTTTGCTTATTTGGGTTAGTTGGCTTTTAAGGAGGGCTTTGGATTATCTGGGCTCTACGGTCTCTGTTAGCCTTAAGATTCTGTGAACTCCTTTCTAATTCTTCGGCACCCACGGTGTCCGCTTTAACTTTTCTCCTGGGATCTTGGGCAAGAGGAAGCCAAAGCAGATGCTGGTACTAGACGTGGTATTTCCTCTCTCCCCCTGACATGCACCGTGATCTTTCCAGGTGGCATTTCCGGGAAACCTGCAGCTGGTGTTCATCCTCCGTCCATCTCGCTTTCTCCAGAGGACTTTCACTGATGTCGGCCTTAAATACTACCGAGATGAATTTAAGATGAAAGTTCCGGTGAGCATGGCTTTCCTTCTGCCCCCACTAGAGTAGGAGGTGTGGGGAAGACGGCAGGTGAGCGGGCTCTCTAATCCAGGTAGGACTCGGCAGGGCGAGCGGGAGAGGCCAGCAGCCCCGGAGGAAGGCGGCAGGTGAGCAGACACAGGCCGGAAGTTTGCGCTGTACCTTGGCTCCATGGGAAGCCGTTTCCGCTGGCTTACACAGAGGGTAGTATTTTAGAGGAAAAACTAAGAAACAAACTAGATCTTCAGGATGAGGGTGAAGGGTCTGGAATTTATTAAGTAGGCAATGGGGATCCAAGGAAGGTTTTTTAGTTGGAAAGAGATAGGGTAAAGTGATACTGGAGTTAGAGCACTCTGAAGGTGGTGTCCGAGACAGTGGAAAGAGGTTGAGGAAGAAAGAGAAATTGGGAACCAGCAGTTAGCGTAATGGCTATGTCGCTGGACTCCCACATAGTCGACCGCGGTTGGAGTCCCGGACCCAGTCGCTTAAAACTCACTCCGGGTGTGTGTGCGTGCGTGCCCAAGATCCTGAGAGGAGAATGGAGAAGGGATTGCAGTGTGGCCATCCCCCCTGGGGGGTGACTTCTCACCTTCTGTCTCTCTGACTCTCTCTGTCTGGCAAGTACACGTCCCCTATAGCAAAAACATCTCAAAAAAAAAAAAAAAAAAAAAAAAAGAGAAATTGTACAGGCGAAAGAAGATACAGATCCAAAATATGGGGTACACAAAGAAAACCGTAGAGTGAAAATAAAAACCAATGTTGTGAAACTTAGAAGAGAAAAATAAAGCCAAATTATTCAGATCTTTACCTATAATTTGGCAAGCAGGTGTGGGGAAGCAGGCATTTTCAGATTGTGCTGGTCAGAACGGGGTTGTAAGGCCCAGTGTGAATGATTGTCAGCGCACGGAAACTTCCATCGTACATGCTCTTTGACTGCCTAAGAGGCAGATTTCTGCCCATGCTCACAAAGCTGCATATACACAGGGGTCTTCAAAGGGTTCAGGGGAAATGTGTATTATGAAAAAACTATGCAGATATGGCCAGCCTCTCCCACATACCTAAATGTTAATGTCATAAAGGGTTTTTTAAGAAGGCTATGGGAATGTTTCAGATTAAAGGTGACTACGAAACATGACAGCCTATGCTCTAGCCAGTCCTAAGCTGGATTCTGTACATGGATTCTGTGGATGCATATCATACTGTGTATATCGCAATATATATTTTATTTATAGATCTATTTAGAATAATGTATTTTATGTATTATGTATGTATTTATACGTTAGAATAATATTTACGTATTTATATGTATCGTCTAAGTTCATTTGTGTTGCTATAATACTGTAGGCTGAATCATTTATAAAAAACAGAAATTTATGGGACCAGCGGGTAGCATGATGGTTAAGACACTGGACTCCCATGTGGTCAGCCACGGTTCAAGTCCTGGACCTGGAGGCTTGTTTTCTCACTTTCAGTCTCTCTCTCTCTCTCTGTCTCTCTCTGGTGAGCAGGCGTGTTTAATTAAAGTCATATAATAATAAATGAAATAAAATAAGTCCTAAAAAAAAAAAAGAAGAGATTTCTCTCTCATGGTTCTAGAGCCTGGGAAGCTCAAGATCAAGGTGCTGGCAGGTTTAGCGTCTGACGAGGGGCCTGGTCTCGCCTCCTGAGGTGGTGCCCTGTTGCTGGATCCCACAAGGGGACACATGCGGTGTCCTCACAGCACAGAAGAGTGAACCCAGCTCTCGCCGGCCCGTTCGTGAGAGCTAACCCCAGCCGTGAGGGAGGAGCCCTCGTGACCCAGCCACCTCCCAGAAACCCACCTTCCAACCGCATCACCCCGGTGACTAGGTTTCAGTGTGTGAATGTCAGCGGGCCACGTATGTTTAACCTGCAGCATGTATTTTAATGTATGTGTGTATTTGGAGTCATGTTAATGGATTTTACGTATACATGTATCGTGATGTATATGTATTCTTATACGTGTGTTTGAAATAAACACAAATATTCATTTTGAGGTAAAAATGAATGATAGGGACCAACTGGTGGTGTGGTGATTAAGGCACTGGAGTCCCACATGGCTGACTATGGTTCAAATCTTGGACCTGGCAGTTTGAAAATCCTGCCAGGTGTGTGTGTGTGTGTGTGTGTGTGTGTGTGTGTGTGTCCAAAATCCCAGGAGGAACGTGGAGGAGAAGGGATTGTGGCATGGCCATTCTTTCTGGGGAGCTGATTTCTCACTTTCCCTGGTAATGTCTCTCCTTAGCCAACGTATGCATCCTATAGCAAAAACCTAAAAAGAAGTATAAAAAAAGAAGTACGCATGTACATAATATACACATACGTGTCTGTACAGGATCTAGTCTAGGACTGGGGGGTGGATTTCGGCCTCTGTCTCCGCTCTCCTTTAATTTGAAACATTTCCCTAGCCTTTCTTTGTCTTGACAGCATTCCTGTATTTGACGAACACCGTGCCTTCCGGAAATGAAGTGTACTCATGTGGGCTAGCATGGTGATTTCTCCTGATTCAATCTGCGTTTTGCATTTCCAGCTGGAATTCTGCATAAGTGATGCCATGTCCTTCACAGCGTTTCCCCTGGAGGCCCCAGTGGTCATCGGTCCCTCTTCGGGACTTTAGTTTGATCCCTTATATGAAGGTGGTGTCCAGTTTCCCAAGTGTATTGTTTTCTTTGAAGCTAATAATCAATCTTAAAACAGACATCTTAAGACTTTGCAAATATTCTGTAATCAAAAAACTTCTTGGAGCTGGCAGGTGGCATGGTGGTTAAGGTCACTGGACTCCCACATGGCCAATCGCAATTGGTTCAAGTCCCAGACCTGGTGGCTTGCTTTCTCTCTCTCTCTGTCCCTCTCTGGTCAAATTAACATAAATAAATAAGGTTAAATCAAATAATTCTTAAAAATTTCTCTCTATATTTGGTATCTGTTGATGACTCTTGCCTGAAACAATCTTTAAAATATTGGTTGCAGAATTGTGATTTCTGAATCCGGTGCACGCTCAGCATGTACCTGTGAGAACATGGTGGACTGTGAGTGAGAGTTTTCTCTCCTCCCTCCTGTCTGTCCACCAGCAGTATGGATTCTGTTCTTTTTCAATGGTTTTAATTCATTACTGTTCTTAATCGTTTTGGTGCTCAAACTGTCCCAGATTTGAGCAGTGGGAGCCCCTTCAAGGTGGCCGTTATGTCCCTGTGACATATTCCTATCGTGTTACTTTAAAACCTCCTTACTTTCTGGCCTGAAAAGATGGCCTAGGCTTACCTTTTGCACACACTGATCCAGCTCTATAATTAGTTATTTTTCTCAGGAGCCCTGGTTCCGTGTGGGGTCGAATATGTTAGGGACCAAGATCTGGGTGTGAGGGTGCTACCGTGTTTTTATGCTTTCAGAGACAGAAACCGTAATATGTGCATACACGCACACACAGATTCATAACATATAACACACACGAATATATGTGTGTGTTCTAGAAATCAAGAGTTCACGATGATACCTTAAATTCTAGTCCACCTGGACATTTTTATGTATTTATCTTCCATGGACGAGAGAGACAGAAAGGGAGGCCTCCCCCCACCAGGATCTCGATGGTAGGGTCCACCCCCAGCCCTCAGCTGGCCCAGGACCATGTGCAAGTGCATGAGCACTCAAGAAGGTCTTTGGATTTCAGCCCGGAACTGCCCGCGTGGGGCTGCCTCACAGACTTCACGTGCTACCCAGGGGCCCCCGTCCAGCCCCCAAGCTCAGATACTCGTCGGGCGGTTCAGGCAGAGGGAGAGCAGTATGGAGTGTATGTTCCCATTCGAATGAAACGGTGTGCGGAGCACGTCAGGAAGGGTACACCAGACACACAGGCTGGTGACAGTGGGACCTCCTGAGCCGCCCCCTGGAGGCCAGGGAGCAGGGACTGGAGGGTTTGTTTTTGTTTTTTTTTTTTAGTTACACTTTTTTTTTTTTTTAATTTACCATCATCTGTATGTTCTATTTTCAAAATAGACAAAAACCAACTTTAATTAAAATTGCTCTGAAGGATTATTTAACCCATCTTAGTGAAGACTGGTCATTTTAGACAAGGAAGTTTTCTCTTTTTTATCCCCCCTTCTCTTATTTTTTTCCTGTTTTAGTTGCATTTTATATTAACAAATAAATTTCCAGAAGTACTTTCTCTCTGTACTTTGTATTTACCAAACTCAAAATACATTTCCCATTCTATTTTACTTTAAAAAAAAATTGCCAAGGGGTGCATTCTCTCACCAGAGAGAGAGAGAGAGAAAATGAAAGTGAGAAAGTGGCCCTCTCTAGGCCCTGGTCACACTGCAGTCCCTCTTCCTCTAGTTCTCCTTTCAAGATTTTGCAGGTGCCCACATGTTTTTCAAGCTTCTGGGTCCAGGACTTGAACTGCACAGTCGGCCACGTGGGAGCCAGTTGCCTTAACCACCAGACCATGGGCTGAGCCCACTCTATTTTAAACACTTATTTTAAAATGCTTGCAAGGTTAAGGGAAATGTGAACCATGAATTTCTTATGCAGTTTTCTTGACTGGAGTGACACTGATATTTGGGGAGAGATGACAGCTTACAGGAAGCCGGGGACTTGTCGTAACCCTTCTGAGCTTCTCTCCCGTCTGAAATGGAGACTCGTCCATTGCTTCCTGCCATTCACAAAGGTTTACATTTGCCCAAATGTCGTGTGTATCTCCCTGATGGTGCATGAAGCACATCTCTCCGAGTGACCAGAACTATACAGACCGAGTGTCCCTTATTCAAAATGCTTGAGACCAGAAGGGTTTTGTATTTCCTTTTTAAAAAATTTTGGAATATTTACATATCCATAGTGAGATATCTTGGGGACAAATCTCAAGTGTAAGCACGAAATTCATTTATGTTTTATGTATACCTTATACATATAGCCTGGAGATAATTTTGTACAGTATTTTAAATAATTCTGTGCATGGGGCCAGCTCTGTAGCTTAGAGGCTAAGGGATCTGGATCCCACACGGCCGACCAGTTTGAATCCCAGCTCTAGCGGCTGGAGAAGTGTACTGGGTGTGTATGCGTGCGCGCTTCAAATCCCAGCAGGCTGGAGAGACAGAGAAGGATTGAGGCATGGCTACACTCCATGGAGGGTGCTTTCTCCCTCTCCCTGTCTCTGTCTCTCTCTGGTGAGCACAGGCATCCTCTGGCAATTGAAAAAAAAATAGAAAATTTTGTATGTGGGGACTAGCAGTAGGCATAATGGTCATGTCACTGAACTCCCATGTGGTTGACCGTGGTTCGAGTCCCGGACCCCGTGGCTTAAACTCACACCAGGAGCATATGTGTGTGTGCCCAACCAAGATCCCCAGAGGAGATTGGAGGAGAAGGGATTGTAGTGTGGCCATCCCCTCCTAGGGGGTGATTTCTTGCTTTCTGTCTCTGTCTCTCTCTTTCTGGTGAGCGCACGCGCCCTATAGCAAAAACCTCTCAAAAAAAAAAAAATTGTGCATGTGAAACAAAGATCGAGGAGCCACCAGAAAGCAAAGGTGCTGCTGCCCCACCGGCAGTGTGCAGTCTGGTCGTCTGGCATCACCGCCGTCCCTAACTCCGAACGTATATCCTGCTGGCAGTCACCCTCGTCCGCTACGCTTACCTGGAGCTGATATGACACACTGCCAGGACAGGGCCCCTTGGGGGCTGTGAATACACCGCGTTGTGTACTTGAGTTTTGACTAGAACCTGTCACATGAAGGTGGGTGTGGAATTTTCCGCTGTGGCGTCTTATTGGCACCCAGGAAGTTTGGGATTTTGGAGTAGGAGTGCTAACCTGCACAGAGACGCTGTGAGGTCTGCCGGCCTGGACAGGCGCCCTGCTACTGAGGCGAGGTGGGGCTCCGCTGCAGTCCCATGCTGTCCTCTGCCACTGCTGCTCGGTCGTGGGTGTCGATTCCCTACCCATCGTACTTTTCATTTTAAACATAAAATCAACTTTTCAAACGTTCCGTTACCCAGATCTTGGGTGCATTTGGTGCGCTCTGCAATGCCTGAGCTACCCTGAGGCTTCTTTTCACGTGGAGGTTGCTTTCCCTGTCGTGCTCATGCCCCAGGGACTTCAGACTTGAAGCTGGAAAGTCAAACTGCAAAACATGTTTTGCCTCTTCATTGCCGGAGGGTGTATGTGCTCAGCAGAGAATGAGAAAAGCACCCTTGGATGGGTGTGGTCGGGCTGCAGTTCCTTCTCCCGTCCTCCCTCCTGTCGGGTTTGGACACACAGGGTACACCTGCACCTGGTTTGTTTCTGAGTCTCCGAAGTCAGCCCTGTGGGGTCTGGCTCCCTTACCTGCTGAGCTAGGCAGCTGGCCCACGCTTCACCTTCTGAAGCGACAGTTGGCGCTGTCAGCTTGTCTCCTTTGCTTCTAAAGCAGTGTTAGGCTCACACACTTGACCGCCGCTCGCTGGCCTCTCTGTCCTGCCACCTGCCTGCTCGTTCCTAGCTACACAGTCACGTGCTTCATAGGTTGTGGTGAGAAGGCGTTCGTTCTGCATGGCTGGGTTACGAACCTGGGCCAAGGATGTAATTGTAGTCGAGCAACTTTGCCTGTCTGTACCGCAGGAGGGGTGCCGTGGCACGCTGAGTGGTCTTGAGCGCCTACTGCTGGCCGGACCCTTCTCTATCCCGGAATAGTTGTACTCACGGTGCCTCAGAAAACCCTTACGAAGTTGCTAAGGCAGTCTTGCAGAGTTTCTAAAGGGCTATGGGCAATCCGTTTCTTTCTTCCTTCTTTCCTTCCTTCCTTCCTTCCTTCCTTCCTTCCTTCCTTCCTTTCTTTCTTTCTTTCTTTCTCTCTTTCTCTCTTTCTCTCTTTCTCTTTCTTTCTTTCTTTCTTTCTTTTTTTAAAGTTTGTTGCCATGTGGCATTCACTGGAGAGAGACAAACAGTGATAGGGAAAGTGAGAATTCACAACCACCACCTGCCCCCGGGGTGGGGATGGCCATGCTGCAATCCCTTCTCCTCTGTTCTCTTGGGACTTTGGCTACCCACACACTCACACCCTGTGTGATTTTCAGGTGTGATTTTGATGTCTGAGACTCAAACTGCAGTTGGCCATGTGGGAGTCCAGTGCCCTTAACCACCATGCCACCTACCAGCCCCCAAATTTATTTTTTATTTTCCATGTATAAGATTTACTTTTGGCTCTGAGTTTTGACAGATATGTGGAGTCATTGAATCACCACAGCGTCAAGATACGAAGGGTTCCTCTGCTCCCCAGGACCTCCTCAGTGTGGCTCCTCACAGTCCTAGCCTCTGAGTCCCTGCGTTGCTCTCCACCCCTTGCAGAGACGTATCAGTGGAGTTATATGCTAAGTAGCCTCTGAGTCTGACTTCTGTCTGTTAACATAAAACATTCAGGGACTGGCAGGTGGCGTGTGGTTACACCTCTGGACTCCCGTGTAGTCACCACAGTTCGAGTTCTGGACCAGCAGCTTAAAACTCGCGCTGGGCGTGGGTGTGTGCATGCCCCAAATCCTGAGAGGAGTATGGAGGAGAAGGGATTGTGGCCTAGCCACCTCCTTGGGGGATGATTTCTCATTTTGTCTCTGGTGAGTGCACACATCCTATAGCAAAAATCAGTTTAAAAAAAGAGGCATTAAACATTTGGACTTCATTCATGCTGTTGGGCGGATCGCTAGTTCATTCTTTTCATGGCTGACTACTGTCCCACTTCCTAGAGGGACAGCTTATCCATTTGCCAGGAGAGGTGGGTTGGAGTCAGGAAGGCACATCTGCGTTGTTTCTAGAGGATGAGAATAAAGGCGCGCTGAGCTTTCACAGCAGGTGTTTGCTGGGTCATACAATGTGCTTCACTTTATGGAAACTGCTGAGCTTTTTGCAAAGCTGCCCTACTGTTTTGCATTCCCACCAGTAACATAAGAGAAGCCGGCGGCTCCACATTCTTGCAGCTGGCCCAAAACAAGGGTCATCGTTTTTGTTTTAAAGAATTATTTTATTCAACATTATTTATTTATTTTAATTTAACCAGAGAGGGACAGAGTGGGGAGGGGGAATGAGAAAGCAAGCCTCCAAGCCCGGGACTCGAACCACAAGGTCAGGCACACGGGAGTCCAGCTCCCTTAATCACCACACAACCTGCCAGCCCCAGTTTTTTAAAACTTTAACCTTTTTTTTGGAGAATTTTTGCTATAGGGCGCGTGCGCTCGCCAGAAAGACAGAGAGAGACAGAGAGATAGAAAGTGAGAAATCACCCCCCAGGGGGGATGACCATGCTGCAATCCCTTCTCCTCCATTTTCCTCTCGGGATCTTGGGCACGCATGCACATGCGCCCGGCGTGAGTTTAAGCCTCTGGGTCTGGGACTCGAACCACGGTCGGCTACATGGAAGTCCAGCGACATAGCCATTACGCTAACTGCTGGTCCTGCCCGGTGTGATTTTTAAGCTACCGGGTCTGGGACTTGAACTGCGGTCAACTACGTGGGAGTCCAGCAATGTAGCCATTATGCTAACTGCTGGTCCCTAAAACTTTAACCTTTCTAGTGTGTGTGTTATGGTATCTCTTTGTGGTTTTAATTTGCGGTTCCCCACTGCCCCATATTGAACCTCTTTTCATGTATATTTCTGCTTTGATGAAGCTTCTGTCAAACCTTTTCTCCCTTTTGCATTGGGTTGTTTGTTTTTATTATTGAATTTTGAGAGTTTTTGTATATTCTGGATATAAATCATTGTCAGGGATGTGACTTGCAAATATTTTTGTCAGCTTGTGAGTTGCATTTTGATTCTCTTTACGGAATGTCTGACGCTTTAATTGGGGTGAGGTCTGATTTTTCTGTTATGGACTGTGCTTTTGGGGTCAGTTTCAGAACCTCTTGCCTAACCCAAAGATTTCCTCCTGAAATTTTTCTGAGATGATTTTTTTTTTCCTTACTCTCACACCTCTGACACCTACTGTGCAGGATTTTTCCACACCAAGCACTTTTCCAGCCTGCACGATACCAGCCACAACCGCGTACCCCACAGCTCTGTTGCATTCTAACGCTGACACAGTAAGCAATTTATTTGGTCCTCGTCCCCAGTTCCTGACACCGAGATAATAGAACTCCCAGGCCCCACAATTTAAATGCTCAGTTTTGGGACCAGCAGTTGGCATAATGGCTGTGTCGCTGGACTCCCATGTAGTCGACCACGGTTTGAGTCCTGGAACCAGTGGCTTAAACTCACGCTGGACGCGTGCACGTGTGTGCATGCCCAAGATCCCGAGAGGAGAATGGAGGAGAAGGGATTGTGGGGTGGCCATCCACCCAGGGGATGATTTCTCGCTTTCCGTCTCTCTGTCTCTGTCTCTCTTTCTGGCGAGTGCACACACCCTATAGCAAAAACCTCTCCAAAAATAAATAAACAAATGCTCAGTCTCGTAAGCCAGCCCTCGGTTCAGATGCCAACTGCAAGTCTGGCCCTCCCACACTTCCAACCCATGTCTGCACATCAAAGTGTTCCCACATGCCCTTCCTGGGTTCTCCCACTTACTAGAATGGCCTGGAGAACTCGGGGACGTGCTTTGCTTATGTTACTGGTTTATGATGCGTCATACAACTCAGAAGCAGAGGGAAGAGAAGCATAAGGCAAGTTATCAGGGAAGGGTGGCTCTTCCCTGCCCTCCCCAGCCGTGTCACTCCCCACCCCAGCACCTTGGTGTGTTCGCCAGTCCGGAAGCTCCTCAGACCTCCTCGCATGGAATTGTATAGAGTTTGCTCTCCAGCTTCCCAGCGGGAGGTGGAGGAGTGTGAACGTCCTCACTTGTAGTCACTTGCCCCTCCTGTGACCAGTCCCATCACGCGATGTCTAGGGCACCCTCCCCAACCACTTTATGAACATAAACTCAGTTGTAATCAAAATGAGTTCCTTTTTACAAAAAGTATTTTTTAAATTAACATAATTTTATTTATTTACTTTTTTCACTTGACCAGAGAGAGAAAGAAAATGAGAAAGCATTCACCAGGTCTGGGACTCAAACTGTGGTCAGCCATGTGGTAATCCAGTGCTTTTACCATCATGCCACCGGCAGACCCCCAAATGTATATATTTAAAAATATAAACATATATACAATGACTTATTATTAGCTATAGTTATTCTACGATATCAATTTTTTTCCTTTTAGTTTTTGCTATAGGGTGTGTGCACTCACTGGAGAGAGAGAAAGAGAAGGTAAAGCACCCCCTGTGGGGCATGGCCACACCACCATCCCTCCTCCTCTCAAGATTTTGGGCATACATGCACACGCACCTGCATGATTGTCAAGCCAGTGGGTCCAGGACTCAAACGCTCAGTCAGCCCTGAGGGATCCAGCCACTTAACCCCCACGCCACCTGCTGGCATACCGCTATGTTAGTTTCTTAGAAGAGGTCCATCGGGAGCCCTTAAGATCTTTCTACCTCAGAAAATTCAGGGCTTTTACCATCTCAGTGCCGGGAACTGGGGTCAGATAAGTTGTTTACTATCTCACAGTCTTCTTCCAGCTTGTCTTTCAGGCTTTATGATTCACGTTTAGATCTGTGGTCTATTTCGAGTTGATTTTTACATAAGATGTGAGTATAGGCTAAGGGTTTTATGTGTACCGATGCTGTTATTCCTGCATCATTTGTTAGTGACGCGGTTTCTTCGATGAATTCCCTTTGTGGCTTTGCCACCAATCAGGTCCGTGCCTGCCCAGCTCAGGGATGGGAGGGCAAGGGGGATGGGCGTCACCATAGAGGAGCAGCCAGGGAGATCCTGGTGATGGAGCAGTTCTGCCTCTTCTCTTTAAAGCTTATTTACTTCTTCCATGATGAGCGAGACAGGGAGACAGGCACCCCGGGAGTATGTCCAAGCTGTGACCCCCAGCTCCTGCCATCCCTGGCCACGTGCAGGCTTCCCATGTGCTGCCAGTCTCACGGTGCTCTCGCCGTGCCGGGGATTACAGGAGGCAGCACACGTGAGAAACACCAGTAGCAATCGGGTGTAGATAAGGTACTATAAACATATAAACATAACACACCACTGGGAGAGCCAGGAGGGTTAGGGGTCCCCCCCACCGTCTTTGCATAGTCTTCGGTCAGTCAACCTGTACTCCAAAATGAAAAGTTGAAAATCGGCCAGCAGGTGGCGAGGCGGTTAAGGTGCTGGACTCCCACATGGCTGGTTGCACTTCCAGTCCCAGACCTGGTTGCTTGAAAACCACACTGGGCGTGTGTGTGTGTGTGTGTGTGTGTGTGTGCGCGCGCGCGCGTGCGCACACATACTCAAAATCCTGGAGGAGAATGGAGGAGAAGGGACTGTAGTATGGCTATTTCCTCCCATCCCCCGAGGGCGATTTCTCACTTTATTTCTCTCTGTCTCTCTCTCTGGTGAGTTCATGCACATCTATGGCAAAAACCTAGGAGGTAACAAAGAAAAATGTTTAAAACCAGTTGACCAGGGGCCGGCAGGTAGCATGGTGGTTAAGGACTCTGGACTCCCACATGGCCAACTGTGGTTCGAGTCCTGGACCTGGCAGCTTGCTTTCTCACATTCCCTCTCTCTCTCTCTCTTTTACTCCATCCCTCTCTGGTCAAATCAAACTAAATAAATAAATGAAGATAAATAAAATAATTCTTAAAAAAATCAATTGACTGTATTTGCATGACTGTTTTGTTCTGTTCTATTTGTCTGTCCTTTGCTACCGACACAATCTTCATTACTGTAGTCTTTTTTTTTTTATAAGAGAGCTTTTTTTCTGCAATGCATGTGTGCTTGCCAGAGAGACAGAGACAGAGAGATAGCGTAAATTCATCCCCCAGGGGATGGCCACCCCACAATCCTTTCTCCTCCATTCTCTTCTCAGGATTTTGGGCACACATGCACACGTACCCAGCATGAGTTTCTAAGTCAGTGGGTATGGGACTTGAACCGCAGTAGACTGTGTGAGAGTCCAGCAACAACCATTATGCCATCTGCTTGTCCCGATTACTGTAGTTTTATCAACAACCATTATGCCATCTGCTTGTCCCAATTACTGTAGTTTTATAAGCTTTGAAATCAGATAGTATGAATCGGTCAACTTCATTCTCCCTTTTCAAAGTTGTTTTTACCTATTTTATGTAATGGCTATGTCGCTGGACTCCCACGTAGTCAACCGCGGTTCGTGTCCCGGACCCGGTGGCTTAAAACTCACGCCGGGCGCGTGTGCGTGCGTGCCCAAGATCCTGAGAGGAGAATGGAGGAGAAGGGATTGCGGCGTGACCATCCCCCCTGGGGGGTGATTTCTCGCTTTCTGTCTCTATGTCTCTCTCTGTCTGTCTGGCGAGCACACGCGCCCTACAGTGAAAATCTCTCCAAAAAAAAAAAAAAAGTTGTTTTTACCTGTTTTATGACTTGCCTTTTTATATGAATTTTAGAATCAGCCTGTGAATTTCTTCAGTAAATCTGCTGGGATTTTGGTTACAGGATTACTTTAAATCTTCAGGTCAATACTGAATACAATTGAACTTTCTAATATCTGCCTTTTAATTTTCTACTTCAAAATTTTGGGGGCCAGCAGGTGATTAAGGTGCTGGACTCTCACATGACCAACCACGGCTCAAGTCCCAGACCTAGTGGCTTGAAAACCATGCCAAGCGCATGTGCGTGCATGCGTGCCCAATATCCCAAGAGGAGAATGGAAGAAAAGGAACTGTGGTATGGCCATCTGCTCAGGGGGTGATTTCTCACCTCCTTCTCTTTGTCTCTCCCTGACTCTCTCAGACCTGGCTATCACCATTTTTTTTCACAGTGTATTACTGTACTGAATCTTTTCTTTTTGATTTTTGCCATGGGTGTGTGCTCTTGCCAGAGAGAGACAGAGAGTGAGAGAGAGAATGTGCGAAAGCACCCTGGGGGGATGGCCACGCCGCAATCCCTTCTCTTCTCAGGATTTGGGGCACACATGCCCATGTGCCTGGCATGTTTCTCAAGACACCAGATCCGGGACTCAAACTGTGGAGTCGACCACGCTGCGACCAGTGCCTAAACCACCATGCCACCTGCTGGCCCAGTGTCTCCCGCAGGTGCTCCGTATGGCCTTGGTCCTCCTCTTTCCTATTTGCCAGCCCACCCCTTCCTGCACTCCTCGTCGCACCCTTTCGGCCTCAGCGCAGCTCTGGAACTTGGTGGCGAACGTGCATGGCCCTCAGGATCGTGGGGCAGGAATTCTCCGGAGGCAGGCTCTGACTTCCCGGCCTGGCTCTGCGCTCCTGGGCCCCGTCAGCGCTGCCCGGTATCTCCCGTTCAGAGCAGAGGGTGGACAGAGACCTGGCTGCAGATCCAGCCATGGTGCACACAGTAGGCCATCACTGCACGACACTGGAGGCCGGCCTGGCCTGGGTGGGTGGAACCAGCCGGACACGTCCCTGGTCCTGGCCTGGCCCTGGCTGGCAGGGAGGCTGGGGAGCGGATCCAAGCATGGCAGGACCTGTCAGGGCTGCCTCTCTTCCAGCTTCCCTTTCTCTCCTGAAAACTATAAACAAATGTATTGAGGAAGATATACTTGTCTGCTGGGCAAAGTAACTGTCTTTGCAGGAGGCATTAAATAACAGCGGACTCCAGATGAGCCCCCGCGTAATTACCTGTGAGGAGTGAATGGAATTATCTGCCCCTTACAGATCGTCGTGTTAAACTCCGTCTCTGACCTCCACGGCTACATTGACAGGAGCCAGCTGACGCCGGAGCTAGGGGCCCCCCCCCCAGCCAGTGGATAAACCACCGCACCGTGAGTACCGCTCTGGTCCCCGCGAGGCGGGAGGGAGAGGCGCGGCTGGGAGGTGACCTCACGCTGCCCCTCCGTGGGAGCAAGAGCGGCATGGAGGAGAAAGCCCCGGTTCCCGCAGGCCCTCGCCTCAGCACACCTGTGTGGGGCCTTGGAACCCCGACGTTGGGAGTTCTCGAAGATATCAGTAGCCGCATTACCTCGGGGAAATCCATGCGCCTGATCTGGGCCGGGCCTCAGACTCCAGGCGGTTGTAATTACAGACAGACCTGCGAAGGCCGAGGGCGGTGCATGTCACCGCTACTCATTTCCAAGTTCGGTGAGTCACTAAGACTCTCTGCACTGGTCCCCTTCTCTGTTAAAAGGGGACAACGACAGTGGTTTTCCACTGCGCGTAATTTGGCCCTGCGAATATTTGTCATTGTCCTTGGACATTCTTTATAGTCGTAAGTGAAGTGGAGGGTGGTTACGGTTCTAGTTGGTTGGAGCCAGGGACTCTGCTAAACACCCTAGAGTGCACTAGATAGCATCCCCCGGCACACACGCACATGCACACACACGCACACACACGTGCACGCACACACCAAAGCATCACCTCGCTCCGCACACCCAGCGCTGCTGTTGAAAGGCTGTGCTAAGCGGAGCTACGCCAGGTGTGATGTGGGAATGCGCGCCGTCTCTGATAGTCCCGTTGTGTGTAATCGCTTACCTTTTCCTACCTCGTATTGGTGGCTCAGTGGCGTGGAGGAAATGGGGGACTGAAACTCACTCTGAGTGTTTCTGCTTCCCCACCTCTGCCCCCACCCCTGCCAGGTGCCTGTGTTGGGACCCAGTGTGGTAGTGTTCAGAGGCTGGGCGCCGTGGGGGCAACCGATTGTATGCTGAGAGCTCCACCTTTATGAATGGGATTACTGCCCTTATAAAAAAGGTCGAAGGGAGCTGCTTAGCCGCTCTCATCCTGTGAGGACACAGAAGTTCCCTTCTCAAAGACTTACACACCCTAACTAGATACGAACCCTCCCGTCGCTTGACCTTGGACTCCAGCCTCCAGAGCTGCGGGGGTATAAGTTTTGTTGTGAATAAATAACTCAGTCTAAGGTACTTAGAGTCTAAGGAGAATGAAGGAGAAGGGATTGCAGAATGGCCATCCCCCCTAGGGGGGTGATTTCTCCCTCTCCCTCTCGCTGTCTCTTTCTCCCCCCCACCCTACAAGCACACTCACCTTAGGGCAAAAACCTCTAAAATAAAGACTAAAGAGAGAGCATGAGCAGACATTTGCACACACATGTGTCTAAAAAGCATCGTG